GAGGGGGGGGGGGGCCGGAGGAGGCTTTTGCATTGTCACCAGAGGTAGTCACCAGTTTATTACAAAATAATCAATGTTTTCAAACAAGAGTAGGTAACGGTTGTAATAATTTAAAATTCCAAGGCATTGGACATTCAACCCTTTATAACGGGGTTCATCAATCAATAAGTGTTTGCAGAATAAGTTCTGAATTCTCTGCTCTGGAACAATTTGCCAATGAGTATACCTAAAAGTACATTTCAACGCTTCGGCATATAAATCAGAAATTTTCCTGCGACCATCACGCCCCTATACTCGTTTCTGGCCAATGCCGACAGAACATTATTTAATCCTTTAAAAGCATGAATCAACAGCGACCTCAGTAATTCCAAAAGTTAGTCAGTCTTGTCCTATAGCTTGAAGCCATACTTCATTGTGAGGGAAGTGGACCGCGGCATCCACAGTGTGGCAATTTATCATTAAACAAAAGAAATATGACGCGGGAAGCCATATTTATGCATGCAGGCATTGATGGAACATCAACGGGCGAACAAAAAAAATCAGACGCACGGATATGCGCCATAACTTCCGAACAGAGGAGGGGAATTATAAATAATAGTTAGAAGCAAACTGCAAATCCAAGGATTTTGCAACTCTCATCTCTTCTCAGTCAGCACAATAACATTATTTTTTATGCTCAACGATGAATATAATGGTATTGAAATAAATGTTCCGGTATTTGTTACATATTTTTTCACTGGGCATTTCAAGAGTCGTGGTGATCGGTTGCAATCCAACGAGCAGTATTATTGGAGGATGATGACAGCAGCAAAGCACATCAAGGAATTCAATACTTTTCATGGAACCCAAAGTTTCATTATGGCCCGTCAATATTTCCTATCCCGAGCTAATTAAATTCAGCCCACACTCTCACACTGTATACCCCTAAAATCAATTTAACATTTTCCTCCCTTCTGTGTCTAGGTCTTTCAAAGAGGTATCTTCCATTCAAGTCGTTCCGATTGAAATGTTGTATATATTTCCCACTTCCCCATGCATGATGTATGCCTCATTCAACTCATCTGCCTTGAATTTATCATCCTAATAATATATGAAGAGTACAAATTATAGAAACCTTCGTTATAAAGTTTCCTTTATCCTACAGAAAGTTTAACCATCATAGGTCAAAGTATTCTCTTCAATACATTGTTCTGAAACACCCTCAATATTTGTTATTCCCTTAACATGAGACACCAGGCAGGTAACATTCCCATGAAAAACAAATGGTAAAACTATAGTTCTATATATTATGATCTACAGGTTTATAAACGGAGATTTCTGTCTTCTGGGTTGTTGCGCTGTGTAGTCTGGTCGATGTTAACCAACGTTTCAGAGGTCATACTGCCTCC